CCCCCCTCCCCGCCCGAAAACCTGTCCCTGCGGCAACCACTTCATACAATAGAGAAGCAGGCAAGCTTAGGGACTAAAAGGCGGAATAAATACATGCTCTAAAGTACCCTATTGGTTCCACTTTGAGGGTTCCCTAGTCGGCCCCTAAAAACGTAAAAATATGAAATTTCTATACGCCCTGACGAAGAGAAAAACTAATGCTACGCAACTAGTTCCGCCATTAGAAATAACAATTGCTTGTATTTTCGGCAACAGTAGCTTATGTAGGCCCACTCATATACCCCTAGTCTCAGCATTTTGTCCTGCAAAACGGTGGTTATAGAGTTTTTGGGGGTAGGGAAGTAGGATAGGCAGAGAAGGAAATTTTTGGAAGTGTAAAGTGAAAAAAATTTAGTCGAAGTTGCTTCCCGCGGCCGCTGGGAGCAGGTTGTTCCGCATGTAAATTGAAGGTGTGCGCGGCGCTTTGCGCCGCGGACTATACTAAGCTAACTCCAGAACGGTAAAATGGACCTCAGGTAAGTTGAAGTAGACGACTCCCTAACCGCCATTTCAATTTTTCGGGAGATATAAGAAACCTGCAATTTGATAATCGGGTTTGTTCCGCAATAAGTTAAACCATAATACAGACAAGGAAAATTTACAGAAATAAATAAACAACACTTCTAAATAGAGGAAAATAAAAATGCATTTAGCATTTATTAAAGTATATTCCACTGCGTGTCCTAATTCTCTATCTATTAAACCCTATAATTACCGATGTCTTAGGAAAACATGCAGGGAGTAGGGATTAATGAGTGGGCCTACATAAGCTACTGCTGCCGTATTTTCTTTTTAACTCTCCCTTTGAAAACCATTTTCTTTTGGCATAAGCTTTAGGAATTTTACGTCAAGCTAACCCCCACTTCCGTCAGTGTATTGGTTTATGCGATTTCGTAATGGTGTTATTAGATGCCCATTTCTTAGATTGCTTTCGGCTATCTATTCCTCTGAAAAAAGTGTCCCATAATGGCTTTATTTAGTTTGTTTAAAATATGTCAGGTGTTATAGGTTATGCAACTGGTATGAGCTGCTATCCAAAGATAAGCCGTTTTTTCGATCGATTAGTACTTTATGGTAAACGTTGTATAACTGTTTCGCATTGGTCTTGCCAGGTTAACTCAACCACAGGGACCATTACAGTTGGCGCTCGTGGCTTGGATCGTGAACAGAGAGAAGCATTTGAACTCCTGATTGAAGTAGTCGACGGTAAGCCGACACCGTCAGCCGGTTCTGCTGCCTCCTCGCCGGTAGCCAATTTGCGTCACAACTCCGTTCGCCTGACTACCCAGACAACTGTGCAAATTAATGTCCTCGATGAGAATGACAACGCGCCAACATTTATCTTCCCCAAGAATGGACTAGTGAGTCTGCCTTCCTCTAACATTTGCCCCGTCATGCTGATGGTTGTGGCGGTGGTGTTAAAGATCACGTACCACAAAAAGCTACAGGTAAAATGAACATGAATTGCACGTGCATAATTCAAATAAGCTTCAGAATCTGGACCCAGAATATATAGATCAGCAAACCTGGTGCCATGCAGTTCAACTTCAGAAATTGTTGCTATGGTATGTTTTGATAAATTGTCCTCTTTGACAACAAGATATACCAACTAGAATTGGACACTATACAGTAATAAGATATCACTTATATTTAGAACTCGCGCAAAACTTTAGACTGGTATGTACCTTAATTAGCAATTCTATGTCCAGCGTCAGCATGACCTGGCCTACTAAACTCTGCGTTCTCAGTACTGCAATCTACTTCGGATTTCGGATTTCAGTCAAAGCTAGTATCTAGGTAATCTACAAACGTACAAAGGAATGACAAAGTTGTATCTACCGAAACATATTATAAATTCCGCGTACTGTGATTTAAAATAAACCTCCATGCTCCAATACCCTTAGTTAAATGCCGGCCTAAGTGCCTACGACGGTTGCCAAAACTATAACTTTGACAGCACATAAATGTTTTTGTGAGTGGAAAATCAAAAAGCATTTGATAAGCATGCACTTCATATTTAACTGAAAGTCTTTCCGACACCAGTAACATACCTTTCGGAAATTCATGGCTGAAATTCCTGTAAATATTAAGTATGGTTATGTCTATGGCATACTTGTCGGCTTTATAGTCGTCGATTAGGCTACACACTGTAGTTTTATTGCAACAGGCGAAAGCTTCCACCACAGTCCCTGAGGTGGACGCAGTTGTGACATCAAGTGGAACCATTTATAGTGAAGAGCACTTTTAAAGCATCTATCTCACCCTATTTCCCAGCTCACACGGCACTCCTATGACAAGATAAGGCTTACCTGCTCTTCTACAGGTGTCACACATGACCTCAATCCTCAGAAAAGGCCGGACCCAGTTTTATTTAACGAATCACTGACTTCAAGTACGGGAGTACTACGAAGGCCACATTACGCAGGAGCATTTGTGGACTAACATACCAGCAGCAAGTTATTCTGTCGGGATTTTAGCCGATCTTTATTAGTCCAAAAAAAGGTTGGATTTATTAGAACGAGGAAGGCGCACATAAGGACGCATTCC